CCCAGGGTTTGAGTGGGTGGAACTGCCTGTGAGAAACCCCATTGTCAGTGGAATAAAAGTGCTCTAAAAATCTTCATTGAAGTGGTTAGTTAGGGTAACTAAGGTAGGGAAGTCTGACCATACCCTGCTTCCCCAATCCTGTGTTTTCACAGGTTTCCCTTTCTTCCTGGTGATGGTCAGGTCTCCTAGAGCCAGTGCTGTGGGTCTTGGTTCACCGGCCTCCCTGGTCCACCTGATTACCCACCATCTGGCCTGCAGTCTGTGGCCATTCCGGAAGCTCTGCCTTCCTCTGGGCCTCTCTGTGGAGACAATTAAGTTTCAGCATTTGTACCACTGAGACACAGGCTGGAACTTTTTGTCTTGTAAATTTTGTATCTGACAGAGTGAGTAATGCTTGCTATTGGATTTAGAGTTTCTGAGTCTTGTCTATGTTCAATCTACCTCTGTTCCCACTCCCTATCCCCATAGAAAGGGACATCTCCTAGGGTTTCAGGTAAATTACTGAGTCCAGTTGGAATTCCTCCAGGGAATTTTACCCAGAAGCACTGTCAGTCATCAGAATTACCTGCAGGGCTAGTTGAAACACAGAGCTTGGCCCAAGAATGTTTACTTCTAGCAAGTTAACTGGTGATCCTGCTGTGGTTGGTCCCAGACCACACTTTGAGAACCACTGGCCCACACCATAAACTCTTCCCTTTCTTTCCTCCCTTCCTAGATATGCTTCTCCCTGAAACCTTCACAACAAGAGAGGAAGAAGTTAGGGTTGTGTTGGTTGGTGAAAGAATTACAAGAGAACTGAAATAAACAGAAGATCTTGAATAACCTATCAGAGTTGCCACTTGATCCCTTTCCCAGAAAAATATAATTTCTTAATTTTTTCCATGAATTAGCATTTTATAATATCTGTAGCAGAGAATTTTTACCTCAAAAAGGCAACCTTTTATATTTAGAACAGCACCTAAACCTAATGCTCACTTTTAATGAGAACTAGGTATGTTTTCTTTTTTAAATTGAGGTATACATAATTAACATACAACATTACATTAGTTTCAGGTATATAACATCATGATTCAATACTGGTATACATTACAAAGTGATCACCACCGTAAATCTAGTTAACATCCATCACCACACATAGTTACAATTTTTTTTATGATGAGAATTTTTAAGATCTACTCTCTCGACAACTTTCAAACATACAATATGGTATTAACTTCAGTCACTATGCTGTATATTATATCCCCAGTTCTAATTGATCTTATAACTGGAAGTTTGTACCTTTTAACCACCTTTGTGCTTCCTTCTTATTCTGGATTCATCTGTTCTTTATCATCAAATAACTGAGGGCCTACTATGTGCGAAGTGGTTTTTATGCATTATGTGAAAGGATCTTCCCCCAAATTTGGCAGTATATAGGTTTTTAGTTCACTGTTTTGTATGAGCAGACTAAGGGTCTTGGGTTTTCCCCAGGCCACAGAACTAGTCATAGGTAAGTATAGGGATTCAAATCCAGTCCTGATCCCAGAGATCAAGCAGTAATGCCTTAGACTGTGTTATATTTTCTATAATATTCTATTTGTCACACAGTACTGTAATCACTTACAAAATGAGTGACTTGTTAGATTTCAAACAATTCTTCTGCAATTCATCTATTCATTATCTATAGTTATGAAGCACATACCATGTGCCATGCTATAGGTCTGGGAAATACAATGCTGTACAAGACAGAACTTTTCAAAATACATTTTACCAGAATATTCTGTAAAGTTTTATTTTTTAATAGTTTGTCCTTTGATTAAAATTGTTCAGAAAAGCTCTGGCTGGTGTGCCTCAGTGGATGGAATACTGGCCTGCAAACCACAGGGCTGCCAGTTTGATTCCCGGTCAGGGCACATGCACAGGCCAGGTCCCCAGTAGGGGAATGCAAGAGGCAACCACACATTGACGTTTCTCTCTCTTTCTCTTTCCCTTCCCCTCTATCTAAAAATAAATAAATAAAATCTTTTAAAAAAATTGTTCCAAAAAATACATGTCATTAAGTCCAGAACTGCATTCTTCCTTCCTCTACTTCTAACAAACCTCCTACTGACTTTCTATAAATTCAGGTGAACTTTTTTTTTTTCATATTTTTCCTAAAGAAGACACATGTGTTAATTTAAAAAATATTTTTTATTTTTTGAATGGATAATACATTTACATAACTCAAAATTTAAAGAAAACAAAGGGTATATAATAAAAATTAATCTTGCTTTCACTCAATACTCTCAGTCCCAACATCCCCCCAGAGGCAACCACACTGAATGTACATATTGTCTTCTTTGCTTCCTTTCTTTCATTGTTAGCACAAACAGTTGCTCACTATCTACAAAGTGTTCTATGCTTCTTGTTGCTACATCTTGAAGATCATGTCAAATCCATCAATGTAGCTACCTCATTCTTTTTAACAGATGCACATAAATAATTTTAAAATGGACCATATGATATTTAACTAGGCCCTGTCAATGAACATATAACATGGTCCAGTATTTTACTGTTATTTATAAACAATTCCATGGTGACTCCTCTCATGTGAATGTCAATTTACACAGGAACAAGCCAATCTGTAAGATAATTTTCTGTGAGGGGAAATGCTGGGTTAAGGGCAAATGGTATGTGTATTTATAATTTTTTAAATGGTCATTATGGGATTTTCTAAGCCTTACAAAAGGAGCTAGACTAGTATAATGAACCCCACATACCTGTCACCCAGCTTCATGGTTACCATTAATCCATGGCAGATACTATTTTATGTATATATAGTGTATATAAAAATAGTATGTGTGTGTGTATAGTGTGCGTGTATGTGTGTTTCTGAGTGTGTATCCCACCCATCCCCTGCAACTCAAATTATTTTGAAGCAACTCCAGACAATATTACTTCATTGATTAATATGGCAATACTTCTGCAAAGTAAGGACTTTAACAATGAGTGTAACTGCATTATCACACTGAAAATAAATTAATAGTAGTTTATTAATTTATTAATGCCAGATTGTTTCATGAAAATTTATTTTTTAAATAGTCTGTTTTTAGGTCCACCCATTCACTGCAGTTGGTTAGGCTTTTTTATCTTTTGGTTTCCTCCTCCACCTCTCTCCTCCTTTTATTCTTCTATGACATTGTTGTGGAAACTGGATAAATTTGCTTCCACAGTCTGGATTTTGTTAATTACATCCTCATAAGTTCATTTAATATGTTTTTCTATCCTTTGGGTCAAAAGCGAAATACAAAATTAAATTGAAGAATTTCTTAAAATAATAATAAAGGAAATACAACATGTCAGAATCTGTATGGCACAGTTAAAACAGTTATTAGAAGATTTATAAAACTAAATAGTTATATTAAAAATAAAATGAAAATGAATGAATTAAAAACAAAACTGAGAAAACAAAATAAAATAAAGTTAGGTGAAAGAAGATAAATGCAGAAAATGTTTCAATAATTTTTAAACTTTTTTTAGACTCATCATTTGAGAATTAGATCATCTTGTAATTTTCAGCTATACAGACAACAAATCTAGATATTGTCAGAGAGAAAGGCTTTTCTACATACACTTTGCTCTGAATTTTCAAGATACTGGCCTGCCTTGATTTTCAGTGGGAAATCAGATTAGAAGACCACACTCCTCATCTTGGTGAGAAGCTGAGGGGTTCAGGAAAAGAAGAGGGAGGGAAGGCTGGATTCCCCACATCCAGTTCTGTCTGAGTTTATGTCTTAGCCCTCTGCAGGACACTGGAGTGACCCATGGGGTGAGGGGCATTTCATGTCCTGTGAGATCCTTGCATGCTTTTGCCATCTGACAGATTCTGGTTCAAATCTCAACTGGCATAATGATTGCCCTAGGCTGTGCACAAATCTCTCAGATGTGGTCCTCGGCATAAAATCCTGTGCCTCCAAAGGATGAGGATCAAATAAGATACCACAAAGAGCTAGTGCTCAGTAAGGGAAGCTAATATGGTGGCTCTCAAGTTCTGTGATTGCCTGGAGACCCATTGGGGAGCCTCTGAAAAATCTCTAGCTACTGTCAACCCAGAGAACAATCAAGTAGTTTTTCTTTCTCTGAGGTCCACTGAATGTTAAACATAATGTGTCTGCTCACAGTATTTCTATTATGCCTTCACTGGCTGTCAGGCTCACCTTCCACCTGTGCCTAAGTAGGGCAGCTAGCCACCTACTTAAGAACAAACATTTCTTTCCAGATGCTCCCTTTCCCAGGCACGGGGCTCAGCCTGTGTCCCCTCTCCTACCACTGCCCTATGGTGTGTGGGTTTGTGTGTCAGGCAGAGGGCCTGAGTTTTGCGAGGCCCTCCACCTGGCTTTTGTTTCCCTCGCCCAGAGAGGACAACAGAACGTTTAGAGAGCCTCCTTGCCCGTGGAGTGTTGGGGATTGGACCTTCTCCTGTTCCCTCTCTAGCGCGGAACAAAGAACGTGGTATTATCACTGTGGGCCATCAGCTGGATTTATTTCTTGGCAGAGATGGGTCTGCAGTGCAAGATGGAAAAAAACCCACCGTGCAGATACATTTCCGACGTATCCTCCCTACCACCCGCCCCCCCCGCCCACGTTTAAGTGGCCCTTTTCCATCCCTCATGTCTCTCGCCGTGTCTTCTCAGCCTTCGGCCTGCTTCTCTTTCCGCGAACCCCGCAGATTCCTGCCTCTCTGCCTGGAGGGTCCTTAGGTCGCCGCCTCGGCGTCCTGGGGCCCTCGCCCCACGCTCGACACTGCGAGCCAACTACAGGGGGGAAACTGCGCGTCACCCAGTGAGGTATAGACCCCCGTGGAACGAGGGAAAAGCCAAACCAACAAAGAGTCCAAATCCGTGCTCGCTGCAGGCGCGGGCTGGCGGGCGCGGCGACCAGGTGAGCGAGGGCGCTAGCCGCGGCGCCCCGGCACCGCGGCCAGAGCGCCGAGCCCGCGCCGCCGGCGTCTGGGAGGCGTGCGTCTTTCTCCTTATATGGTCAAATGACACGCGGGGTTCGCCAGGGCTGGAGGCTGCGCTCCACTCAGCAGGCTGCGGAGCGGCATCCTGGAGCAGCTGCCTTCGCCACCCCGGACCTCTGTCCCACCGCGTCCTCCAGCGCCTGCCCGCTGCGTGGTGAGTGCCACCATCCCAGCCGCCGGGAGGGAGACGGGCTCCACCCGCATAGCGTGGGGACAGGGAAGCCAAGGCGTGGGAGAGATCGGGAGAGAGAGGTGGCAAGCCTTGAAAGAGACCCCGGGACAGGGCACTCGAGCGGTTGGGGGAAATCCGGGGATAGGGGTCCCTGCGGTGGAGAAGACCCGGGGACAGGGGAGGCGTGCAGTTGGAGGAGATTCGGGAAGAAGGAAGCTGAACCGAGGTGGGGAGGCCTCGTGGTGGAGGGAGCGTACCGTAGGCCGGAGGGACCCCCGCCTCATCCTTGGAGGGAGGCCTGCAGGCGTGTGCAGGCCAAATGGGTCATCGCTGGGTGGCCAGCAGGGCCTGTGCCACCCACGAGGGATACCCGGCAAAAGCAAGGCAAGGGTCCCAGCTTGGGGAGGTGATTCTTCCCCCACCCCGAAGACCTTGAGTCTGGCCCTCCTCTGTCTGTGCGGGATGTCGGAACCCTTCTCAGTAAAAAGAAGTGGAGCTTTCGGTGTGACCTCATGCATTAACTCGTGCGAAAATTAAAAAATTAACCACTGCATTTAACAAAATGGGCTACTTTAAACGAAAAAAAAAATCTCATCTTTAGTTGCACTTGTGTGATATCTTAGCATACCTGACATTGCCGACAGAGATTGTTAAATATTGTTTCCCATTTTAAATGAAGATCATACTTACTTTCACACCCCAACATGGGTTTCCATCCCAAGGAGCGGAGCCGAGGCTGAACGAAAGGCACACAGCTGCCTTCCAGCGGCTGCACTCCCTCGCATTTACCTACGTTGGGACATGAATCACAGTATGGGCTTATAATCAGGAGACTGTTCAAAACACACGGACAGATCTTTTTGTCACCTTTGGCACTGCTTCTGCTGACCTGGGCTTTGCAATAATGTGTTAGAGGGAGGAGTTCGCTATCCTGAGGGGAATTTAGACCAAAAACACTGAGGCAAGTCTTAGAGGTACAGGAACTTCTGGTTGGACAATTGAACTTCCATAAAACCAAGCTTAATGAAGAACATTACATTGTACATTTATATAAAATGTTTTTCACCGTGTTTTCCAGATTTGGCTCACCCTAAATTTTTAAGGGTTATCAATGAAGGTATAGAATTGGGTTTCCACAGTGTTTATTAATCTGTGGTACTTTAAAATGCTTTCACTCAGCAGCCTGTTGATAAGGGCTAATTTGGCATACTGAGGACTGGGCAATGTTTGGGGCAATCATGTCCACAATCTCATTTAATACACACAAATATGCCAGAAGGCAGGTGTGACTGACAGTGGGCGTGCATTCACTGGAGCTAGGCTGCTGGAGTTCATGTCCTGGTCCCTCATCCACAAGCAGTGCAACCTCAGCTAAGTCACCAAATCTCTCCATGCCTCAGTTTCCTCAGCTGGAAAACAGATATGATAGTGACTTTCTTGCAGGGTTGTAATCAAGTCTGCAGATCATAAGCAGTGTATACATACTTGATATTGTCCTCATCTTTACAGATAAACTGAAGCAGAAAAAGAATAAAGTAACTTTTGCTGAAGGTTTTCCAGCCTTAAGTGGTGCACTTGAGATCTGACCCCAGACAGCTTAACTCCAGAGCCTGAGTTCTAACCACTGAACTACTGAGAACCCACCTGAATATTCCACTGCACACTGTGACCCAAGATTGCTTGTTAAGTCACTTCCAGTATTGAAAGAAATCTCACTTGCAAAGTAAAATGCCCATTGGGATATTGAAAAAACTAAAGTGGGCCTCAGGAGGCCTGGGTTCTAGTCCTGCTGGCACTAAGGGTCAGTTGCCCAGCGGCTGGTACTCAGGCTGACTCATTTATTTGTCAGGAAGGGGAGGCTGGAGTAGAAGTTTCTCTCTGACTCAGGTGCCATGAGATACAAAGTTCCTTGCACTTGGTACACAAAAAGAAATACTGGATATTTCCTGCAGTTTTATTAAAAGAATTTTACAAAGCTCATTTATCATGTGGAATTCTACTGAGAGGCTACTTCCTCAAAATGACCACCATGAACAAAATACATGGGCTCTTCTCAAGTGCTCAAGAGTCTGCTCTTCCAAGAGGCCAAGCTGGCTACATGATTTTGGGGTGGTCATGTGAATGGGCTGTTGTTTTAAATTATGGATTCGGACTGTAGCCCCTGTGATGGTTAATTGTATGTCAACTTGACTGGTCCATGGGGTGCCCAGACACGTTATTTCTCTGTGTGTCTGTGAGGGTGTTTCTACCATTGATTAGCATTTCAATCAATAGACTGAGTAAGCATATTGTCCTTGTCATTGTGGGTGGGCCCCGTCCGATCAGTTGAAGACCTGAATATAACATTAAGGCTGAGCAAGAGGGAACTCCACCAGCCTGACTGCCTAGCTGGGTCATTCTCAGCCTTCGGCCTTGGACTGAAACATCAGCTCTTGAGCCTGCTGGGTTTTGCACTAGGATTTACACCATCAGTGTTCCTGGTTCTTAGGCTTTCAGATTCATATATATATTTATTCTCCTACTGATTCTGTTCTCAGCCTCACTTTTGTAAGATTCTATCACACCTTTGCTACTGGTGGTCTTCATTTTCCTTTTGCTATAAATATGTTTGTCCTCTTGAAGATCTAATGAGAGGTCTGGGGCAGCATTTGTTTTCCCCACCATTAGTCCAGTTCTCATGGGTGATTCTCACACTTGGCCTGAACTTGGACATCCCATGTTATCACAGTTGCCCTCAGCCTTTGTAATCCATACCTTTACTGGCCTGATTTAGTCTGCCGCTTAAAGATTCCCTTTAGGCTATGGTACCAAGTGAGGCAAGTGACATCTGTGCCCAGTAAGAGGAGCAGCTGTCTTATTTCTGTGGGTTAATAAAATTCATGTCAGAGAGCATCCTTGAAGTCTGTAAATATTTAGGTTTTTAGTCAGAAAGAAAATAAACTGGTCTATATCTGATGATATAGCCCTGGAACAAATAAGGCTTAGCCACTCCATGCAGAACAGCAGGACACGTGCAAGTGGTCATGACAGGATCCTGTACAGTGTGCTGGTGAAACACCATGAAGCAGCAGGGGGCAGAATGAGGAGGCTAGTCTTTAATGAAAGTCGGGAGTTGCCAAATGAAAAGGCCAGTAGGGGGTCATAACAGGTGGAAGACCAAGCAGACTGAGTGTAGCACAAACAACAAGCTGCCTTGGGGAGACTGGAGGAGGCTGTGAAAGAGTGAACACATAAATAATTTGCTCCCATGTTCCTAGGAAGGCGGTGGTGGAGCAGTAGGGTGGGTCTCCCCTTCACCCTCCAACACTGAGATGATTTATGAACCTGAGACAGCCCACCATTCCAGCCTGCATAATTATGTTTGTACAGCATCGACTGAACTGACATGTTTTGTGATTAAATTACAAGATAGTATCTTAGAAGTGATTTAAATTCTTTGGGATTAGAACTGGACTAGAACTCTTTCAGAAATTGTATGTCTTATCTCAGTCTCCTAGTACTTAAGACAGTACATGGAAAATCATGGTCCATTCATACATTCTTATTGATGGAATTTAAAAGTTTGTAGGGCATCAAAACAAGTATCACTATTTGTGCATCTATAGACTTAAGGTCATAAACTTGACATTTATTAATTTCCCATTTTTTTTCATTATTCCATGTTCAAAAGTTTATGTGGAGGATAGCAGTTACCTTATTCAAGCATTATCTCTCATGCAAAACATTTCTTTATCAGAGACAAACCAAGATTTTTTTTTGGCAAGTTACTGTTTTACATACCAAATTGTAGTACATCCCTGACCCCTGTTCATAGATGTACTCAGTAAAGGTTCATTCAGTTGATCTGTAGATATATCATATTGCTGCAGGCATAGTCATTCTTACACTTTACCAACAGTCTAAAAATTAATTTCAAGAGAATCCTAGGTACATTGTTATATTTTTAAAAATAGCAACACCTCTTAAATTGTGCCCCCTCTCTCTTTCACCAGAATTTTTATTTAAAAGAAAGAGTTCAGCTAAACTAATGAAGAATGTTAGGGTGACAATCTTTGCTTTCTGGGCACATTGTGTCTGCAGAAGGCCCAGGACCCTTCACTGATACCAGGAGCCTATGTCAGGTGGCCTAGCACCTTCTGAGCAGACAGGCTTGGAATTGTCTCCTTGCTGGCTTTTACTTCTTGACATGACCAAGCCTCATCCTGGACTGTGCAGCTAGCTGTGTGTTCACAAGGATTTAGAGTCCAAACATAAAGAGGAAAGTTCTCTCTGCTGTGGAAGCAGCATTTAGCTGGAAGAGGGAAAGATACCAGTGATGGAAGAGGAAGAATGAAGCTTAGGATCTACTACATTGGAAAGTTCAATAGCATCAGATTCCAAAGCACATTACATTGGTTTGCTGTGCAAGTAGATTATTCTCTAAAGACATTCCTCATTTTTATTATTGATTTTTGCCCACGTGTTTGTCCTCTGGGATATTTGTATTTGTTCATTCATCCATCCATTTGTTCACTCATTCTAGGAGGATTTATGAAACACCTGACCCTGTGTCTGTCACCATCAGGGCCACAATGATACACAGTGCCCACCTTCACAGCACTTAAGCTTTGGACACAGACAGTCCCACAGTGTCATGCAGTGTCATGAAAGCATTGTATTCCTAGATGCATGTCTAAAAAAGGCCCTCATGCAACAGACTGATTTTCTTAGGTCTCTCTAAAAAGCTCTGGTTGATTGTTGATAAATGATGGAATTTCCTACCTGGGTCCCTAATGGCATTTAAAGATGGCCATGGCTTTGTCAGGACTGACTTCCTGAAGCTTCTCATATTGGGGGAAGGGTTTGGGAAAATTCACAGGTTTCTCTTTAGGAATTGACTGTTAGAGGAGTCTCCTAAATCATAGCTGATAGAGAAAAACACTTGGGTTTGGAAGGGGAGGAAGGAAGTGGCATCTTTGGGGTTAGACCAAAGTAGGTAGTTAAAGAAAAAGAGCATTGGAAAGGAGGCTTAACTGAGTCTTTTTTTGTGAACCTGGCCAAGTTGGATCAAGGTAGCCAAAATAGGTCTCCCGGGCTGGAAGGATAGGGCAAGCTCCTGAAACCCACCATGCTAGCACCCCTCCTTTGAGTCTCAGGAAATCTTTCTGATCAAAACACATGGACAAGCGCCCTGGCTCTCAATGTCCTTGCCTCTCTTCCTTCACCTCTTTACCATCTCTCTCTACTTCCTTTATTGTCTTTTTATGTTTCCTTTCCCTTCTTCTTCATGTTTCTTTTCTCTCTTCCTAGCTCTGACACTTTCCCTCTCAAACTTTGTTTTACAGTTTTCAAATCTGAGAAAAAAATCACCCGCATTTAGAAGCTGTAGACTTTTAAACAGTAATTATTTCTCAGGAGGTGGGCCTGGTGCATCTTTGCCCCTTTGCTCTCTGAACCGTTATTTTTGCATCTGACTGAACACTGACTGAGCTGACAGAGACTGGGATCAGAGAGCCCTCCAGGCCATGGGGCTGCCAGCCCCTGTGCAATTAGTTTGGCGGAGAGCCAAACCTGTTCCCTAAGGTCCAGCTTTTTCAAAGACACTGCTTATTCAGAGCCCAAGGGGAAAAGACATCAGAGAATGATTTAACCCTCATTAGGGATGAGAACTCCAGGGCATAGTAATTTGGACTTGATTCAATGAACTAACAAGTCAGCAGTCACAACCTTTGTTTGGGTGGCTTCTTGCATGCTGTTGCTTATTCATGTCAGCATTTCTGTGTCCTGGGTGATGGCCAGGAGGGAGGGAGGCCAAACAGTGATTATACTCAGCTAGGTCATTACAGCCCTTTCAGAACCAAGATGTCTGATTTTTATCTGAAGAAACAATTCAGAGGTGGACTCTGATACCCTGAAAACATTTTCAAAGAGTCATTGCCCTTCAGTCTGTCTCCCCCAACCCTGCACAGCAATGCCGGGCTTCCACACAGCAAACTCTCAGTGGAGCCTTCCTGTGTCCCCTTTACACTCACTACAGGCTTTCGGGAGCTAATATACTAAAACCTGTTGCCCACGGACACATTAGTGTTTGTGGTCAAGGTCACAGACCCTCCTTTTCTGGGCCTTTGACTATCTTCTCAGCTTCATCATTGCTACTTTTAACTAATCCCACTCATTCTTATCTTCTTGGGGTGTCTACTCACCCTTCCCTGTTTCTTATCTCCATGCCTTGCTCACTCTGTCTCCTGGCCTGCAGTATCAGCTGGCTAGCTTTTTCTAACACAGGGCGGGGCTCCTCCCCTGCATGCCCATAGTGCCCTGTACATCTCTCCATCACTGTCCAGAGCAGGGAGACTTACAGTCTGATACATATCTGCTTTCTTCACCAGACTACAAGTTTCTTCAGTGAGGGCCCGAGTCTTATTCATCTTTGTACTTCTAGCACTTTGAATAGCTTCTGAAACCCAGTTCCAGCTCAACTGATGCTTCTTGAATTAATAAACACTCAGGTTTTTTATGGGATTTAAAAGTGGAAAGTTACCCTGGCTGGGTAGCTCAGTTGGTTAAGAGTGTCATCCCAATACGCCAAGGTTGCAAGTTTGATGTTTGATCCCCCATCATGGCATATACAAGAATCAACCAATAAATCATAAATAAGTCAAACAACAAATCAATGTTTCTCTCTCTTTCTCTCTCCTCTCCTTCCTCTCTCTTCTCTCTCTAAAATCAATGAATAAAATTTTAAAATATTTTTAAATGGAAAGTTACAAGGGGCTTCTAATGTAGGGCTATAGATAAATTTCTTTATTAAAAAGAAGCTTAAGATTGATAGTGTAATTTTAAAATATGCAAAATATTTTATTTGGTAGCATTTGATTAAGGAAGAACTGGTTTTAAACACTTTTGTGACAAAAAGGAAACCCTTAGTTTTTTCATTAGCTTATGGGCTACTTACTTCTGACTCTTAGAGTTTGTGCTTTGTAGAATTGTCTGAAAATCTGTAAGAGGACCTTCTCAGATAAAGTGTATCCTGCCCTGTTCCTAATTAATGATGGGTGCTCACCTTACACCTCACCTGTTGGTTTAAGCACAAGTGTTCTTCTAATCACTGAAATTGTAGTAACTTCTTAGAGAAGATAATGAGCCAGGAGGGAGAGAGATCCACCATAGTCAGGAAAAAAAATCTACAGACAGGGAACCTGAACCACTGGGCCAAGTGCCTCGTCCCAGCTGGAGTTTCTGAGCAGGCTACAGTCTCACTATTCCTACTGGGAGTCAGAATCAGTGATGATGATGTTATCTCGGGACAGCCTCAGTCACATTTTGAGCAGATGTGGAGCCCCCTTCCTTGTGCCCAGAGTTGACTCCCTTCAATTATTTCTCTCCTGGTCCAGTGCAGTTGGAGAAGGTAAGCAAATAGTCACCAGGAATAGAAACATCATGGCCATTGCCTTGGAAGAAAGAAGGTTCACCCCTTTCACTGGCTTGAGAACATAAACATGGTACTCTAGATAAATTAGTGGTATTTCTTTTTCCAAGCAGGGCCTGTGCTTGTCCAAACCCACATGGAACCACCTTACAATTTAGATCGGAAGTTAGTCATGTGAAAACTCATGTGAATCCTCTTTTCTCAATATTGTTCCTGGGCTCTAGTTTTTCCATCCATAAAGTGAAGTAGTTGTCATGGAAAATCCTGGGAGTTGTTTCCAGGTTTTAAAATCCCACAATTTATCGTTCTGTCTTCTTTCATTGTTTTTACTTCAGATTCTCAAGTCATTATTCTTATGTTTGTGTAAACAGAATGGGCCATAGACCTCTGGTTCCACAGATAAATGGCAGTCTTTATTGGGAAAAATATATATGGTGGAAGGATACTATTGAACTGCAATGAAATAAATGTCCAGTGAGGTCTCCTCATGCAGGTTCATATACTGCTCACAGCACCAAAGAAGGAAGGAAGGAAGGAAAGAAGGAAGGAAGGAAGGAAGGAAGGAAGGAAGGAAGGAAGGGAGGAAGGGAGGGAGGGAGGGAGGGAGGGAGGAAGGAAGGCCACTTTCAAGGCCAATAACTGAGGAATTACAGGAAAGCATTGAATCTTCTGCCAACATAGCTGCCACAAAGTGCAATGGCTTCACTATGAATAATATTTATACTTTGGGTCTCAGAATAATAATGCAAATGCTTAGGAGCCCCATCTTGTGATCTTATCACAAGAATGTCCACACAATGTTTTCTTTAGCTCCAAGAAAAGAGATTTTGAAGGCTGGATCTTGCTACATGTGTCCAGCTGCATGTTTAATACTCTTGAAAAATAACTATTCTGTAAACGTGGAAATAACCAAGTCTGGATGCTTGAATATTGTTCATTTGTTTGCTTACACTTGTCAAGATCTTGTATATATAACAGTACAAAATTAATAAACAGTATCAAATTTGCTGTTATCATAAACCAAGCAACAATACTTTATTTGCATCATAGGGTATTATTCTGAAATTTCACCCTTAAATGGTTTGAAATGATGCAAAATTGAACCAAGTTTAATTCGAGTTCATGAAACATTACTCAGAGTTACAGTCAGCCAGTCCACATATTTAATAATTTCTAAAACTTCTTATTTTTCACAAATGAAATATTGCCACCTGAGAATATATTCCAGAAAAATATCAACTCTGTATTTTTAATGTCCTGGAGGTGTTTCTCCATACCAAGTATTTCCACAGAAGACTCTTACATTCTGGAAGAGTTCTAACATGTGTATGGGAATGGCACAAGAGGATGAGAAAGGTAAAAACCTCCTCTTGTGGCCCTCCATTCCCATCCCACCCCCTCTGCTCATGCACACTCTATGTTCACCCTGGAAATATGTGCTGTGGCTGGCATGGAGATGCATTCCTGTTCCTTTTTGACAGCCGTGAGGTACTGCCGGGAGAGGCCACGGCTTTCCTGCTCTGTACTAATCCCTGTTCTTGGAAGCTGGCCTTTCCCTGTGGCCTCCTTTCTGGATACTCAGGCAGTGGAAGGATGATCTTTTCATCTGGGAAAAATGAGTTGCCTGAGGAACGTATGGCACTTTTTCTTTTGCAAGAGGAGATTGTGCTTCCCAATGCCATGTCAAGGTCAAGGGTTGTGCCACTGCTGTTTCTTACTGTTCAAATTTATGAATCCATAAAGGGGAACTCATGGAAACTCTTTGTAGAAATGAACATATAAATGGTAATGGAAAGAAATACAATAAAAAATTAAATTAAATTAAAAAAAGAAGATTGAACCTATTGTTTCTAGCCATGCCTTTCTAGTTTGGGAGAGGGAGAAGGGAAAGACACAGGCCCAGTGGCACATTTGAAGCACATGTGTGAGGGCTCTGATGTCAGCTCTTGTATCCAAAAATGAGGTAGCTTTTTCTGACACAATGACATTTGGAATTTTTTTAAAATCATAGAATGCAGTCAAACACAAAACTGCCCCCAACTAATTTTTTGAGAAAGGATTAAAAATTATGACTGTGGCAAGGGTGAGTTTCAACTCTTTACCCAGAGAGAACCACTCCTTGGCTAGGGATGATACTGACAGATGGCAGGACAGCTAATGCATCAGCATGCATGGCATTCACAGTGTGCTCACTGGGACATGTATTTTCTCGTCTTTTCAACAGGCTGTTGAAAAATCAGGTGTCAAAATGACTGAACGCTTTGACTGCCACCATTGCGAAGAATCTCTCTTTGGGAAGAAGTACATCCTGAGAGAGGAAAGCCCCTACTGCCTGGCCTGCTTCGAGGCCCTTTATGCCAGCACATGTGAGGAGTGCAGGAAGCCCATTGGCTGCGACTGCAAGGTACCCCCATGCCTTCCCTGAGTAATGCCCTGTATCTCCTGGGTCTCTCTTACTTCCCAAGAACCACAGGCCTCTCTGTGTGATCATGCTAAAGTCCTGCTCTTCATCACCTATTGATTCCATCTCTTGGTTCCCCCACTCTGATGGGCTTGGACCCTTCCATAAGTATTATTGAGCTCTTCCCTCCTCTCTGTTGGTCTCTGACTACTCCTGATTCCATAGCACTTGCTTTCCCAGGAAGTTTGTGCTCAGTGTCCTAAGTACAGTTCTTACATTCTAGTTATTCATGTCCCTATCTCACACCCACTCCAGCTCCCAGTGCTGTAGCTACCTGAGGGCCACGCTCTCTTGCTCCTGTTTGCTCTGTGCTGACTCAGGAGGAGCAGATGCTGCTTGATAAATATTTGAGGAAGAAATGTGCACATGAGTGATTTAGAGCTGATGCCCAGATAGATGGGCACATCAAAACAGGAAAGTTATTGGCATATAAGGGGTTCTTTTCTCTTTAGTGTCAGGAGGTCAAGATTTGTGTTGTTTCATTTTCAAGGGGAAAGATGCACACATAGGAATTCCCAGCTTTCCTGCTGTGGATGGCCCAGCAGGTTCAACTGAGGCCACCAGTCATTTGCGCTGACTGCCTGGGGTTGAGTGTTGGGAATCCTGGCCTATATTTCTCAGCATATCTTTAGTCCAAACTGGACCACTGAAGGATGCCACTGGGAGTCCGTCCGTGTCTCAAAGTTTGCAGATATCTTTACCTGCAAGACAGCTGCTGAAACACACGTGACAAACAGTAGGTGATTGTCATCCTGAGAGCCACAGATTTGGTACAAAATGGAGTTCGAAATCTCCAAAGGAATTCCCAGATTAATGGACTTTAAGGCAATTTATGGCATGTCACTTTTTTCGGCTTTCATTCCTTTGTCCTCTTTTGGGATTTTGTCACTCTCCTCTGTTGTTACAAATATCAATACATAACTGCTGACTGATTGACAATTCTAACATATCCATGCACATTTCTTACAGTTCTTTATTTTATCATATCATTCCTAGGAAAGGCAGTAAGCTACGGGATGCACCATCAGTTTCTGTTGCTAGGTATTTAGTGACAATTGAGGAATAATTTCTGCCTTATATGGAAAGAGGCCTTTGTCCTGAACAGAGACAAAGGCTGTGCAACATGGGCCTATGGAGGCCAAACTGGGCTGTGTATCTTTTGGCTTCAGAATGGGAGTGGCATGCCAAGTGTCAAAGAAATGAAACTCAGAGGTTATCTTATGTAAACTTTAAACGGCTCAGCAGTCTGGCCATGATGAGCAGAAAGTAGCTGATCTTGCTAGTCTAGAAGTTGAATACCTGTTTATCTCCAGCTCTTTCTGAGGATGTCTTCCTATGCCCAATGGGCGTTCTTAGTTCCTCTTTGTTTATTGACTAGGCCAAGCATAAGAGCCCAGATGCTATACTACCTGGTTCTAGTCTGGCTCTGTGGCTCACTAGCTGTGTGAACCTGGGCCAACTACTTGACTCCTCTATGCCTGTTTTCACATCTCTAAGATGGAGGTGAAACAAAGGTGCCTACCTCATCAGGTTATGGTATGCAGATACATAACCCTGCATGCCATAAACAGCAGCTGATGGTATCACTATGAACTTCAAACTTCTACTTTCCTTTCAACTACTTCCCTGTTCTTTCCCTAACACATTCCCTACACATACCTCTTGGAAGCTTTGCCCTCTCTCTTTATCAGTTTTCATTATAAAAACTAAATGTCTTGTTCAAAGAACTAATAGACAGAGAAAAAATTATTTTATAAAGGTTTTACCTGAGCAAGAATTAGGCACGAGGTCCAGCTATTATTCTGACAAAGAACAACTCCAGTTTAAATGAAACATTTTGGATATTTGGGACTAGTCATCCTTGACTGGTGACTAATGTAAAAACAAAACAAAAATCACTTACCATTTCTCCTACATGATTTAGTGGAAAGACACTTGAACCTCGTTATCCTTCAGCACATACTTTATGAGCAAACACAGGAATCCTCCAAATGTGGCCAAAATCAACATGACTGCTGCAAAGTCAAGAGTTAACCATGCTGAACTTTTCAACCCAGATTAGTGGTTTGTTATATGTGGAGTTGTGCCATGTGATTTTCTACAGTTTAGAAGAAAAAGAGATGTTGACTTGAAGTTAGATCTTGCCATTTGGTGCTTTTGAATATTTGCTATGGCTTTCTTGATTTTCAGAAATAATTATGTAGTTGACTTTGTGGAGAAAGCAATGGTAGAAAAAAATTTCTATTACTTCAGGAAGTCAGGTCAAAGGCAGGCCACTCAAGGGAGCAGCTGAGCTGACAGATCTGGTGGGCATCCTCTTTTCTTAAAATAGTGTAGGTCCCATGGGCTCACTTAACTTTCCCTCTGAAGGACATGGGTGTATGTATAATTTTTAAATATTGGCAAGCCTGTGCCCTGGCCGGGTGGCTCAGTTGGTTGGGGCATAATCCCATACACCAAAAAGTTGTGGTTTGATCCCTGGTGAGGGCATGAACAGGAGACAATTGATCGATGTTTCTCTCACACATTAATGTCTGTCTCTCACTCTCTTCTCTTTCTAAAATCACTAATAATAAAAATCCTCATGTGAGGAGTAAAAAATAAATAAAATAAAATATTGGCCAGCCTTTGGGATGTAGTCTAATCTTTGTGGGTATTGACTGCCTTCTGAATAAGATAGATAAGACTTCAGGACCTGTCGCTGTAGGTAGATTCCATGTGTTTGAGTATCAGCTCTCTGCAGTCACTCAGTGATATTATTTACTTCTATTTAGTTACTCTGAAGAAATGCTGAGATCTCAAAGGGTAAAAAACATTTATTTATGTGGTCAAAGGATTATTTGAGAACAGGTAATATAAATAAAATGTTATGATTCTCCAATATTATGCTGTTCTTGTGGATACTAGCAAAAAATGTTTTTAGCCTGGTTATAGATTTTTTTGTGGATGGGTTTATCTACCTATATTTTAGGCTTCAAAAATTCAAGAATTAAAGAAAAGACAGGCTTGTCAATAGCTCCAGAGACAAGTGTAAGTACCATGCATGTATCAAATCAGTGATTTTAACAAACTCTAGGCCATATACCCAGCTCAAACTTTGAATTTTCCATGTCTGTGCAAGCAGGGTCATGAAGTCAAATAGGCCACCTGACCCATGGATGCCCTCTCTAGACTTCCCATAACACTGCATAGAGAGGGACTTTCTTCACTGCATCTTATGGAGAACCCACTGAGGCTGAGAGAGGTTAGGGTCTTGCTGGGTTACAGGGTTGGAAGGCACTAGAGTTAGAGGTAAAACGCAGGTGGGGTGGCTCCTGACCCATGAGCTGCATGTTGCCTGCCCTGTGCGGCCTCAGATGGGACATCTGGTCAGGTGCAGATTGGACTAGTGGTCAGTCCTAAGAGTCAGAGCTGTCTGCCTTGCTTCTATCAGTGACCTGAGTAAAAGGCTCCCGCCTTTCTCCTGGGGCTCCTCAGATGGCAATGACTGTACTGCAGAAATGATACTCAATTTGTTTCTAGAACACTCTTTCCAGCTTCCTAGTTAGTTAAATGGGAACACTGAATTGACAATCAGATTGGCATGAATCTATCCATTAAACTATAAAAGTTTCTGATTTAAAATTTGGACAGTTTGTAAAGGACAGAAAACTTCTGAGGTCTTTTGGTGGAAAGCAGCCAGGAGAATGAAACAGGAGACTAAGTTTTTTAACATGTCCAGGTTAACTCTAGATGGCTTTGTTACACTTTTAGAGGATTTCTGACCAAAGCTTAGGGAGCGTAAGGTCAGACTGAGAAAACCATCCTTGCTGCCCTTCACCAGGAAACAGGCCTCCCCTGCTGGGCCTCTCTGGCTGTTCTTCGGGGAAGAGCAACTCTGCCAGATACATTCCCACAGTCCAGGCTGCCATCCTGACTCCTTTTATTTGTTGAGGTGATTTTTCAGTGCTTAGTGAGTGAATCACCTTTTTTAGAGGTTTTGTGTAATTTATCCACGGAGTTTGTAATGAACACTAAAAGTATTTATAGTTATTTGGACACCCTCCTATAAGAGAAAAATCTGAAGGAAATCAAGTAAAGCAGGATCCTCAGAATTGGAAACAAAGGTGACCAGAGGGGTTATATAAGGACCTCTCAGCCCATGAAAACCAAGGGTCACCTGCAAGGCATGCCCACCAAGGTACACAGTACTCAGCAGTGACATTGTGCCCACTGAGGTGGGACTTCAGCCAGACTTGTCCCCTACAAGCCTTGGTTCCTATGTCTGAAAACAGGGTTGCTTATCTCAGAGGAGTTGACTGTTAACATAGATGGAACAGTGTTCCACAGAGGGAGGGCCTTTGTTTCTGCCATCATCTGTTCCTCTGGACCTTTAAGGGCCTGAAAGAGTATGCCATTGAAAACCTGATAACCTGACAATCTGAAAGCCTAGGACCTCTTTGCAAAGCTCTGAATATGGCTGATACTGAGGATCCATTTATAAAGTAGAATCTTGTGGGTGTGAGGAGTAGTTGCTCTTGGAAATCAGTGGCTGAGTGTCTGCCAGTCCAGGTGGACCAGTGTGTGAGGGAAGAGTGGGTGCCAGGACCATGCCAGCTTCAGAGTGCAACCACCCTGCCACCCAAAGCTGCCTGCAGTGAGCTGAGAGGTCGAGGGTCCCTCAGGACACTTTGCCCCATGGCTCAGCTCTTAATGTCTCAAGAAGGGCACATTCAGGGCCAAACCACAAGCACTTCCATATTAGGAATGTTTCTGAAATGGAAAAATATAAAATCTGACAGGAAGCCTTTGGGCCCAATCTTACACTGTTTATCAACATTTTACTGCAACTTATGACATTTCTGTGAGTGCAAAATTAATCTTGGTATTTTTTCTGAGGTATATAAAAGATTCTTTTCTTCTTCTCCTCCTCCTCCTCCTCTTCTTCTTCCCCCTTTCTCTGG